CTCCTCTGCCCATGGGGCTGTCCAGTCAAAAAATACTGGAGTGGGGAGCCATTCCCTTCAGCAGGGGATCTTCCCGACCCAGGGACTGAACCTGGGTCTTCTGCACTGAAGGCAAATTCTTTACACTCTGAGCCACCAGAGAAGTCCAGCAACCCCTTATAGAAGTGTTTAATCATTATGAGTCACAGGAAATCCTTTTAAAAATGAGCCCATTGAAAAAGAAAATAACATGGTATACCTCCCTTTTCTATGGCCAAATATTAACGACACCATGTCTTCCTCTTCCCCACTACAGGCAGAATGATAGACCTATTCCTTCTCGAGAGACACATGCAATACACCTGTCAACTAAAAAGTTCTATGTACCCATATTTTCTAGTGCACTTTTTCTCTTTCCTACTTGTTCTTATAAGATGGAGGAACATTTCTCATTTTAACCACGATGCTCTTCACAGTTTATAAGAGCTATCTGACGTGTTTTAAAAGTCAGAAATAAAGTGTACACTGTGTTATTTTAACAAAATTCATTCCTCTAGGCAGAACAACAACAGGACTTCAGGGCAGTTTATTCCAATTTCTTTACCAGATATCTCCCACACTTTAATAAACATTCAGCTTTTCACAAGCAAAGGCTGTTCTTCAGATGTACAGTCACAGGTACTCTGAAGAGATTCTTCTTCAACAGTTAATCAAAGAGTACTCTGTGTGATATCAAGATATTTTAATTTGATCCATTGACTACCTGATATTTTTAAACGTTCCTTTTTTTTTTTTAACCAAATTATTATCATCACCAGAGGGTTTGGTTCTTTCTTCCTTTTCTAAACTATCACTACATTCTACCTTGTTTTCTTTTCATGGAGCTTCCCAAGCAGCTACATCTTCCTACATGCACTTATTCCAGCAAACTGAGAGGAAGGGGACCTAATACAAACCTGCTTGAGGACACACAGTGTCTTGGGAGGATGATAGAAATACCACTTGAAAGAAAGCCAAACACTTGATCTGTGAGTGCACTTTAAAAGTGTCAAGGTCATAAAAAAACAAGGACAGGCTGAGGAACTGTTACAGACTAGAAGAGGCTAAGAGGAAATCACAATAACATAATCCTGGAACAAAAGAAGGCCCACAGTGGCAAACATGGAGAAAGTCACATCAGGTCAATACACTAATAGTTATTGTACCAGTGTTAATTTTCTGTTCTTACCACTGTGCTGTGGTTGCACTAAGATGTTAACATTAGGGGAAGTCAGTAAGGTGAGCACTATAAGAAATTGTTCAGACTTTATTTTTGCAGCTTTTCTGTATTTATCAGTTCAAATTTTAAAATAAATAAATCAATTTAAAAAAAACCTGAAAGCCTATGCAAAAATGAAGGAAATTTTGGTTGAAGCTTAACTTACAGAGAAACTGGAGAATCTAGAGAGAGAAATGATTAGACACATATGTGGAAAATCAAACTTTACTTTGTAGCAGAGCAATCTAAATGAATCATCTAACGAGTTCTGGAGAAACAGCAGAGTAAAGGGCCAGGCCTAGAAGGCAGAGAGCAGGAATCACAGTTCTTCACGATATTCTTTTTTTTTTTTTTAAGTTGTGGGAAATGGTTTTATTTTATTTTATTTTTTCCCATCATATTTGAATTTGTTTTATTTTTTTTTATTTTTTCCATTTATTTTTATTAGTTGGAGGCTAATTACTTTACAACATTGCAGTGGTTTTTGTCATACATTGAAATGAATCAGCCATGGATTTACATGTATTCCCCATCCCGTTCCCCCCTCCCACCTCCCTCTCCACCCGATCCCTCTGGGTCTTCCCAGTGCACCAGGCCCGAGCACTTGTCTCATGCATCCAACCTGGGCTGGTGATCTGTTTCACCCTAGATAATATACATGTTTCGATGCTGTTCTCTTGAAACATCCCACCCTCGCCTTCTCCCACAGAGTCCACAAGTCTGTTCTATACATCTGAGTCTCTTTTTCTGTTTTGCATATAGGGTTATTCTTCAACATTCCCAGCAACAGAGGAAAGAAAACAAGCTTGAGTAAGCAGCAAGCCATCTGCTGCCATTCTCCCTCCACCAGCATTCAGTTTGTGCTTCTTAAAAGGAAAAATGTGCAGTTGGTCACTGCAATAGAGTGCCTTTTATTAAGAACACTTGATACACCTACCAATATTAATGTTTATAGAGATAAAAAGTATTCCTCTTTCAGAATCTCAGATATAACAAGATGAAAAAAATAATGTGCTAATTCACACAAATTGTTCTGCACAGTGATGACCTAGATTGAAGAGAAAGGTTTTGAATACCCTCTACTAAAAGTGATAAAATATGAGTATCTAAGAAAAGTTTTAGTTGTTAATAATATATTGAGTTTACTTAGCATAGCAGATTTTCAAAGTGTTTCAAAATACATTATGCCATCATGACATCCTTATAAAATATCAATACATCTAATTTTTCACATGAAAAAAGTAAAATTTCACAAGGTATATTAATTGCACAATCTACATATGGCAACAACTGACATTTGGCTTGAATGCAGAGGAGCTCCACAGGCATGGTAAACAGATAGTCTGTGCCCCTGGGAGGGAGGACGCTGATAAGCAGCTCTGAGCTGGCTGTCATGCAGGACTGCAGGCTTGATGTGATCATATCTGCCAGTTTTTCAGGAGGAAATCGAAGTTTCATCAAATAAAATTTTGTCAGCCAAAAATTGAGTGTCTTGTTTCTATTTCAACTCAGGTGGTAATGGAATTTTGGAAATATATATTTCTAGATATAATACTACATTAATTTTCTTATCAACTCTTATTTGAAGACTAAAAGGTAGAATAAATTTGTGGCTATTTTACTATATCTATTGTGAAATATAAACATTTTACATCATATAACTATTATGCAATATTTTTTAATATTTAGGGATTTAAAAACTTAATTTTTTTAAAGAAAAGAGTGATGTGCCTGCCAAATTTTGTGGATTTACCAAAACATCTGAATTGTACTTTTTGTAAAAATTCTTGAGAATTTTTAAAGAGGAAGAGAAAAAAAGAAACTCTGGAATAATTTATCTCTCCACTATGTCATTGATTTGTTATCCAGAATCAAGTAAGAAAATGCATGTAGAAGGGATGATATTTTATAAATGCTGTACAAAGATAAGGAATTATTACATCTGTATTTGATTTTACTTTATGAAAAAATGTTTGTCCTGGAAATTTTATCCTGGCACTCACAAACTAGCATAGTATATGATCACAGTTGAGTAAAAGAGTGTACGGAGGACTGAGTTCACTTCTATAGATTTGTACCTTCTTGCTTACAATAATGTTCTGTGTAGGAAATGAGGAATAATGAAATAGATAAAATTTAGCCTCCAAGTCAGAACTGATAAAGAACTTAATGCATTAATATGTATGAACACGTGTTTCAGAAATAACCTTGTCAAATATCAGAATAGAAAAAAAAATAAGAGTTTTTTCCACCAACTAGTCAATTTGCTATGAGATAAAATTAATAACTATAATTCTTAACACTTCCCAAACACATGGGAATACCAGAAAACTAATGAAGAAAACTAAGCAAATATGTATGTGTCATTGCATTTCTTTACACAGCAAGGGTAAGAAATAGGGACTTATTTTGTAGACATAAACTTGAATAAATAGCTCTGGGTCCAAACCATAGTCCCTCACAGCTCACAGGCTGTCTCAGGATGAACTTCTCCTGCTTTTACCTCTTAAAAAAAGAGAATCTGAAGCAGGTTTTAATCCAGTTGTTACAGAGCTTTCCACTTAGACTTTAGAGCCAGGCTGACTAGATTCTGAGTTCCGTCATTTACTGTTAGAATGTGCAAGTTATTTAATTTTCTTATTGTCAGGTTTTTGATACATAAATGTCTGGTATTAAGAAGTACTTACCTTTTAGGTAAGGAACATCTAAAACTGACTCCAATTTATTAACAAAGAGTAATTTTTAGATTTTGTGCTCTCAAGGAACATAGTTATTTTTCAAACAGAAAAAGAGATTCTAATCTACATTGTCTGCTGCTGTATGTTATTTTGACATACAAGAAATATTCATTGTATGGGTTTTGATAGTATTCAAGAGAGATTTATTATTCTCTTGACTTCAGTTTTAGAAAGAGCTAATTTCATATATATATATAAATTATATGCTAAAAAATAAACATTATTAAATTATATATGTAACTTTCAATGTCCCAGTGTGTTTTCTTTCCCACAATGTAATTGCTATTCAAAAATACCCTCTCTGTTACACAAATTGGAGTGTATTTTAGATTCTTAGTGAAATATTTATTAGCAGTTACTTAGGAATCTGACTATGTGACAGGCACCAGGCTAAACATATCACACAACATCGTGTTGGTAAGGAATAAAAGTAGAAACGTTGGAGTAGGTATCCTGAGTTCAAATTTCAGCTCAGCTAATTTCTAGCTAACTGAATAAGGGGAAGTTATGCAACCTCTCTGTGTCTCAGTTTCCACAACTGTTACTATGGATCCCATATATAGAGCTGTTAAAAGGATTAACTAATTAGAGATTTCAGGTCAGTGCCTGGCATATAGAAAACACAGAATTAGTGATTATTAGTATTAAATATTTTGACAATTCTGTTTTATTTTTTTCAGAATCACTATAGTAGGCCTAAATAGCAAAACTGGCTAGGAGAAGACCTGAATTTCTAGACTCAAATTCTAATATTTGTTGTGACCTTGGTTGAATCATATGAAGTCACTGAGCTTTAATTCACTTATCTGGAAAACATGGTAACAAGATTTGACTAATGAGGAATCTCTTCAGCTTTGCAGATAGATTTCCTTGTTTAAAAAAGAGTGTTGATTTTATGGACTTAAGAAGGAGACTAGATCTCATTTGCTGCAAATCTGTTGGCCTCTTAGCAGTTAATGCTTACTCTCCTGGGTTAGACTAAATAAGAATCTAGAGAAACATCTGATGAATTCTCTTTCTTGTAGATCATCGTGACAATTCTCCCTTTGATGGACCTGGTGGAAACCTTGCTCATGCTTTTCAACCAGGTGCAGGGATCGGAGGAGATGCTCATTTTGATGATGATGAAAGGTGGACCACCGATTTCCAAAATTATAACTTATATCGCGTGGCAGCTCATGAATTTGGCCATTCCCTTGGACTTTCTCATTCTACTGACATTGGGGCTCTGATGTACCCCAGTTACATCTTCAGTGGTGATGTTCAGCTTTCTCAGGATGACATTGATGGGATCCAGGCCATCTATGGACCTTCCCAAAATCCCATTCAGCCAGTTGGCCCAAAAACCCCAGAAGTGTGTGATAGCAAGCTAACTTTTGATGCTATAACTACAATTCGGGGAGAAATGATGTTCTTCAAAGACCGGTTCTACATGCGCGCAAATCCCTTCTACCCAGAAGTGGAGCTCAATTTCATTTCTGTTTTCTGGCCACATCTCCCAAATGGACTTCACGCTGCTTATGAGGTTGCTGACAGGGACGAGGTCCGGTTTTTCAAAGGTGGATTCTTCAGTGCTGAGACACAGAGGATTTCCAGAATGTTTACAGACTTCCAATCATTCTGAATTGGCATCTTTCCTGGGGGCACACGCATCGCTCAGCCGAGATGGATTCCAGCGAGGAGGATCCTGGGAAGTCGATAGGACCTCTGGACTGGAGTCTCCCATCCCTTTTCGACCTCTCCAGAATCCTGGTTGCTGGTAGCTTGTCGTCCGGAGGACTCAAGACATGGTGGTTACTAATAGACTTCCCACAGTACTTCTTCATCCCCTGTGGACTCCTTCAAGGGCGGTGAGCATCACAGATTCCCTTGAACTTCATCTGGGTCATAAAATAGATGGAGAAAAGACCTATGGATCCTATCAACCAACGACTCCACCCACATGCCCCCTCCCTGGAACCCTCACACCCTGGGGAGGAGGGAAAACTAATTAACATTTCTTTGGGTTATGAAGTCCTTCCTTTGTGTGTGGGCCCAGCAAAATTATGCATGAACGTCCTCCGACAAACTTGGACTTTCAGCCTGCCTCCAAAAGAAGACTTGCGGACACTGCTGCCCTTTTTCTGTCTGTGAACCACGTTTACTACTGAAACTTTAGGGAAAGAGTTAGGGAAAGAACAAAAAACATTATGTAAAAGGTTATTAACACTACGTTGAAATATTACTGTGACAAAGGACTTCTTGGCTGGCTTGACAGTGGAATGACACCCTCCTCCTCTTCAAATCATCCTCGATAAACAAATTGGGCCTGAATTAGAGACATATAAAACATGGAAACTTGCTGCCAGTACCAAAGAACTTGGGACTTGGACCAGACATTTCACAGTGACCAGTCATGGTCATAGTAACTATTTCTTTCGCTATAATCAGTCATATTTTATACAGGCCTGTGTCCCACTTCCTTTTGTTATAGCCATAAGAAATTTATAACTTGATCTGTAACTTGTATTAATTGCCAATTTTGTGTTATTCCTGTTTAATTCAATCATAGTACCTACTACTGGGAACAAATCAAATTTCATTTACTTGATAATGCCTCTCTGAATGTACAATTACTGCAAAAGGAAATCTTTGAAACTTTTTCTAAACATCTGCCCTCTTCCACCAATTTAGAAACTTTAGCTAAACAAATTATCCAGGCTAGACCCACAAGGATGGTTTCAAAGTATTATTGGGTCTAGAACTGTAACTTTGGTGATTGTCTTGATAATTGTATTTGTTGTTTATCATCACCTTTCTATATGTTTGGTTAATACCAAACTCATTTGGTCAGGACCTTTTTTTTTTTTTTTTTTTTTACAAATATAATAAAATAGGGGGAATTGTCAGGAAGCATTTAACAAGAGGCTTCCTGTGTGCTGTTTTGGATCTGTCAGGAACCCTCTGGCCTTTATTGATTCCTGAATATCCAGGAATTCAGAGGAGAGGCACGCCTTTCCCGCCTTTCGGGGGGCTGAGGAATCCAGGCATTTCTCATTACGGTGATAAGTACCCTCTTCCTTTTTATGAGCCAAATGGTAAAAGGTGATCGTTTGCAACTCTCTCTTTAATAATCTTAAAACATAAGTCTGGAATTTTTTTTTCATTTATTTTTATTAGTTGGAGGCTAATTACTTTACAATATTGTAGTGGTTTTTGTCATATATTGACATGAATCAGCCATGGATTTACATGTATTCCCCATCCCGATCCCCCTTCCCTCCTCCCTCTCCACCCGATTCCTCTGGGTCTGGAATTTTAATCTTTATCTTTGCTGAGAATAACTACAGTATATATGCCCAAGCCATGTTGATTAAAACACCTTTACTCCATAAAAAAAAAAAATAAATAAAATAAAATGTAGTATAATTGCAGAAAAAAAAAAAAAAAAAGATTTGACTAATGACCTACTATTATTGTCAAGTAGAATAATGTAACAAAATTCCTCAAAAGGTATAAAACCATGATGAAAATACAAGCATCTTCTTATCTAAACACAGAAAAAAATGAATATTTATTATATCTTGCCTTTTCTTTCAAACCACCTCCCTCAGTCCACTCTAACCCCACCCAATAGAGGGTTTCAAAACTCCAATCCCAAATGGCAATGGTTTCTATATGTGTTTGAAGATACAATGTACCAAACAAGAAATATTTAAAGTAGCTGCTTTCTTAAAGAACAAACTATAATTTGGAACAAGTTCTTCTATGTGCAAAAATCAAATGATGGTATGCATTTTCTAATTCACAAGAGGAAAAAAATGACAGCATTTTCTCAAGATTGAGGCTTTCTTTTGTTTATTTTTTTCCTTGTCTTTGCTTCCTGTCTATTCTTTATCTGCTAGGGAACCTGAAAGTGACAAAATGAATTGTTGAGTATCAAACACATTTTAATTAAAAGCCTCAGACTCAGCCATCCTTTTTCCTTGGCAGCATCTTTTCTGATTGATACATGTACCTGTGGTTTTGCTCTTATGTTTTGTTGATAAAATATCATTTTTCCTGCTATTTAGTGGTTATGACACTGGGTGGAAATGTTTCAGGGTAACACATTGTCCAAGGAGAATCACTTATGTGGTATTTCCCACACTAGGCAGAAGAACTTTTCAGTAATCAGGTAGGATTTTACCAAACCAAGGAGACTTGTGAAAATAATTGGAAATATTCTTTCCTTGGGATGGAGTTTTTTAAATTACTATAAAGTTTTAGTTACCTAAAACTTAATTTTTCCAGCAACTCTGGAAACCATATATTGGTCTGATTTTTTAAAAAATTTAGTCACTGAAATTCACTAGTGGGCATCAATATGTGACTAGTTATCAGATATGACTAAAACAACTTTTATTTTCTAGTAGAGAAGAGAAAATTCTGCTGATAAGTCAGAATTTATTTGACTTTTCAGTAGAGACCTGTGATTGGATGGTGTTTTGGATTCAAACTTTGTTTTGTAATTCTTCTAAATCTCTTCTTACTATATACTCCTAAAAGTAGAAAAACGTGGAATTTTTCTTTGGATGCTCTAAGCTGATAAAGTATGAAATTTCCTTGAAATTTTCTGTTTCGTTTTTTAAAGTTCTGTGAACTTTGCATTCTGTTTCTTAATATAGGTGAAACTCTTTTAAAAGAAAAAAAATATTAAAAATAAAAATAATAAAATTAATAGTAATGTATAGGACACTAATATATAGTAATATATACAAGGAAGATGTTTATCAATGAAGACAGTGTCTCAAATTTTTATGCCTATACAAATCTCCTAGTAATTTTGTTACGATATAGATTCAAATCCAGTTGTCTTGAGAAGGTTCTAATATTCTGCATTTCTGAAGGCTCCTGTGTGAGGAGATGCTGCTAGTCTCTGACTACATTCTGAGTAGCAAAGTTTTAAAAGGACAACTGAAAAAATATCCAGATGAGTCTCATGTAGACTCACTACAGAGGTGTGAAATTCTGAAGTCATGTAGAAATATAAAGGTAACGCATATGAGTAGTTATTTTTAAATTATAAAGAAAACAAAAATTCCTCATTTCAATTAAATTCTAGCTACCTAAATAATTACTCAAAAGCAAATTGGTATCACTCAGTTTACACATATACTTTAGATTCTAATTTAGGGTTATATTGAACTGAACAGATTCCCTTTATGCCCTTTCTAAGTAATGCAATTTGCTCCTTCAATGAAGCCAGTTCTTCCACTCTGACCCTAGCCAGGGTCTAAGGATCAGAGTCATAAACATAGGTTTGTAAAGCCCCCAAAACAGTAAATGATGGGTCCAGAATTTTAATCCATTTTGACTCTAGATCCTGGCCATATACAATATAATGCTTATTTCCTTTGCTGTAAACTCTAAAAATCTAAGTTGTAAAGGCATTACAAATGGAAGAAGTTAATATATTGAAAGTAATTATTTTTCCTGAACTTGTGCTAAAGGCAATGGACAGCATACACCTTTATATACAAGGTATGGGCTTTCCAGGTGGCACGAGTGATAAAGATCTTACTTGCCAATGCAGAAGATAGAAGAGATGCTGGTTCAATCCCTGGGTCAGGAAGACCCCCTGGAGCAGAGTATGGCAGCCCACTCCAGTATTCTTGCCTGGTAAATCCCAGGGACAGAGGAGCTTGGTGGGCTATAGTCCATGGGTTTGTAAAGAACTGGACATGACTGAAGTGACTTAGCAAAGCACAGCACCCAAGGTACTAAAAATATTTTGAACTGAATAGGTTTTTTAGGTATGTTCTAAAACAAAGCAGAATTCCATAATATCTGATGCAGATAATATTCAGTCTCAGAAATTTGGCTTGATGTTTACCTAATGCAAGATACAGCATAATCATATTATGAGAAAAGTGAGGATCTGAATTCATCATTCAAGTCACTTATGAAGTTATTCTAGAAGAACTCTACCATTTTGAATAGTTTCAAATACACTTGTTACATTTTCCTGGTCTGGGAAATAGACATTTATATATTATGTCTATTTATTAGAGATAGTTTTTTCATAGTACCTTTAAAATCAGTACTTCAAGGGGAGGGGTAATGAGTGTCCAAAAATCCTACTATTTGTTAGTAAAATAATAAAATCATCTAACTAAAATCATCTAAAATAGAAAATCATCTAACACAACCAAACTTTTCTCCAAAATTTAAAATATTTTAAGTTTCTGAGAGCTTAACTTGTGCAATTAGATCAGTGACAGCTGAGGAAGACAGAAGTTCAAAAGAGTGGCTCAATCAAACCACTAAACCAGGAAAGTGGAAAATTGCATTTTGTTGCTTTGAGTTAGGTAGGTTATTACCTGAATATGTATGCACATGTTTGTTTTCTATGTTTATTAATTTGGAGTTCTTCACTTCTCTTTTACCCTTTCTACAGCCCCTTACTTAACCAAGTTGATATTTTGGTTTCATTTCTTTAATCTCTTGATGGCATTTCTCACAGTATAAGCTTTTCCTCATCTCATTTTAATATCATTTAGTATTTAAGAAGAGTACCTATTTGCAAACCCATTTATTAGTCATGCTACAAAGTAAACATTCTGAATGAGCCCTCTGGAATCCCTGAAATTAAACTAGATAACT